CTATTCTCTTTTATTAAGTTAATATAAATAGAAAACTGGCGGCTGCCAGAAGTATCTTTTTTTCCTCTCAATCGTATCTCCTTTTTTTCTTCTCTCTCTCTCTCTCTTTCTCCCCCACTCTCCATGAATCATTACACTGATAAAAAAACATTTCCTTCCAAATTTTACTAATTTCAAGGGATATCATGCCATTAATGATAACAGACCACATTCCTTTGGTAAAACTTGAATAAAATCAGTCTAAAATAATAAGGAGATTCTACACCAAAGTTTAAAGTATTGATACGCACAAACAGGCATATCGGGTGTTTTGATACTTCACAACTTTTTTTTTGTTTTTTTTCTCAAAAATGTTTCAGGGGGTCGGTTTTATGCTTGCCTACCCCTGAAAGTGTCCAAATCCCAAAACACCCCTTATTTGGGGTTTCAAGAAGCTACTGATACGATACGATAGGGTGTACCATATCGAAATTTTGAACCTTGGTCTACACAACAACAATAATAATAATAATAATAAACTTCTATACAAATTAAATCACTTACTGATTTGGTACTAATGGAGTAGTCTTAACTTTTGGCTGCACCACATGCCCAATTGCAAAGATTCCACCTCCATTCACATTATCTAAGCAGTGGGAAAACATCTTTTTCACTTTTCCTGTCGAAGCCAGCTGAGAAATCATGGATGCATTTGATTGCCCAAAACCAAGTATTCCATCAAGTGCTGCACTAGATGAACCTAGATCTCCAGATTGTTTAGCACCACACCTGTCCCAATAATATAGAAAAGATTTAGGAAGCCATGTACAAAGAGAACCTTATGCTATCAAAAAAAAAGGACCAGTTCTACAAAAGAACTACAATTCAAACCAAGACAGAATGTGGCCCCCAAAAGTACATAAATCAGAACAGCAAATCACAAATAGCAAAAAAAATTAGAAGTTGTAAATCACACCTGCAATAATCTGAATTAAAAGAAAAAGAACAGGAGAAAAGGAGAATGAAAAGAGAGAAGTGATAGAGGGAAGAAGAGAAAGTAGTTCAAAACTTCTCTTCAGCCCCCAATGATCTCTTTTATTTATTTTTTTTTTGTTGTAAAAAATAAGGACAATTACATGAGTGCCCTTAATAGAAGATATGGCTGAATCTTCACTTGCCATTGTTATGTCTCACCAAAGAGCATAAACATCACTAAATACAATAACCTATCAAAAAAAAAAAAAAAAAAAACTTCGCTAAATAGAGTAGAAACACCAATCACACCAAACACCCAACCAGACAATAAAGAGAATTAAAATGCTTAACAAAGAAGTAGCTGCATAAAAAAGAAAACCCTTGTCAGACCAGCCAAGCAGGTCTGCCAACAACAAATAGCCTCCAAAAGCAACCAAAGATACACATGCATGCATCCAGCTTCTGCACCTCTCACTAAAACCCATTATCCTCTGAATCTCCTCGAAAAAATCCCACTCCACATGTCCGTAAGCCTTTTCGATGTCAATCTTGCATACCAACCCTGCCCTCCCTCTTCTAATTCTTGAATCAACACCCCATCCAAGATCTGCCTTCTACAAAAGCCATTTGGGATTCCCCCACCACCTCATGTATCACACTTCTTAACCTTTTTGACAACTGTTGGAAAGGGATGATGAGGATTATTCCTTGTGGAATCTGAGTCAGAATCTTTCCTGTTTTTTTTAGTTATTTATTTCCTTATTTAGGCTGTGATTATTTTCCTTTTTTTAGGCTGTGATTTAGTTTCCTTTTTTTCTTTAGGCTAAATTAGTGGGTTAGTTTCCTAGAATAGCTCCTAGATTGATTCTTAGAAGTTTTGTACAGATCTTCTCAATGAAATTTGAACAGAGATATTCAAACATTTGTTTATGTTTTCATGGTATCAGAGCCTGCGACAATGTCTGGAACAAGCCATTCTTCATCAAAAGTGGACTCGACAGCAGTAGATTCAACCATGAATGCATCGAGATCCCTAGGAACCTCCTTCACCACCTCTGACATAAGCCATTCTCTGCAAATTACCCAACACAAATTAAATGGGTCCAACTTTCGTGAATGGTTTCAATCCGTTTTATTAGTGATTCGAGGAAAAGGAAAAGTGGATTACCTTACTGGTGAAATCCCTCCTCCAGCGAGCAGTGATGCAAGTTACAAGACATGGGAAGCTGAAAATTCCATTGTCATGGCGTGGTTAATCAATTCCATGGAGCCGCAAATAGGACGCACGTATCTGTTTTACAAGAATGCTCACGAAATATGGAAGGTTGTTCAGGAGATGTACTCAGATCTTGGAAACACGTCTCAGTATTTTGAAATTCGTTCTCTCCTGCGG